AACCTCTGTGTGTGTATTTGTTTGTTTGTTTGTGTTTGTGTGTGTGTGTGTGTGCGTGTGTGTGTGCATGTATGTATGTGTGTATACACACATGCATACACATATACGCACTTTTATACACGCATGAGCGAAACGTATTAAAGTTTCTCTCTCTCTCTCTCTCTCTCTCTCTCTCTCTCTCTCTCTCTCTCTCTCACATACACACACACACACACACACATGCACACACACACACACACACACACACACACACACACACACACACACAAATACACATACATAAACATACACATAAACAGACACATGATACACATACTTTTTTCCTTCAAGCAAATTCGATCCGAACTTAAGCTTGACAGACAAAAAAAACGTGCTAAAAATTAGCATACATTGCAAAACATCATTATTAAGAGTGCAATAGCGTGTTCCCCTTCCACTTCTATTCATATTCATAGCTAAGAAAAAATTTTAAAACCCCAAAAATCTTTGCTTGTCTAAAGTAAAAGCTTCTAACGGCACAATGCAAATTCACGGCGTGGCGAATAATATTTCACTTTCCGTCAGAATCCCATGCTCAAGCAAACTGCAAATGTGCGTGATGAATTCGTCAACGAATATAATATAATGCAAGTATGTAAATAACGTTTCTGCAAATGGGCCACATCATGACTGTGTGGTCGGTTGCCTTTTCTGAGCTTTTCTTTTCAAACCTGCCAATGATTTTGTGTCTAACTGAGTAACTTCCGGTGGTATGGAGCGCGCAGGGGCTATTTTGTTATCATGCGGTGGCAAATCAGGAGGTGGCTTTTTCTTTACATTTGCCACCCCAGGAGCTTTACGCAGAGCGTTGTCATCTGGGCGCACAGCGTCTTCAGTTTTACGCGCTGTCTTATCCACTTTAGGCAAAGTGTCTTCAGTTTTACGCGCTGTCTTATCCACTTTTGGCAAAGTGTCGTCAGTTTTACGAGTCGCCTTGTCACCTTTACGCAAAGCATTGCTGTCCTTACGCACTGCCTTGTCATCTGTGCGCAATGCGTTGTCGTCCTTTCGAAAAGTGTCATCAGTTTTAGTTTTACGCGTTGCCTTGTCATCTTTTCGCAAAGCATTGCTGTCTTTACGGACTGCCTTGTCATCTTTACTAAGTAAGGCATCTTCACTTTTACGTGTTGCAGTGTCATTCTTCCGTGCAGAGCTGTCTGCATTCTGCAACGGCACTGAATTCCTTCTCGTTTTTGGGAGAAGTGCTTTGTTGGATGTAGAAACAGATGAGTCTGGAGGACCAGTACGAGTCTTTGTGTTGTTGTTGGCACTGTTGTCTGCTACTGTTTTGTGAACGGAAGGCTCCGTTGCTCTTCTGTGATTTGTGTTTAGTTTTGGAGGAACAGCCCGAGGTTTTATCCCTACTGCTTCTTTTGGCTGTTTTGCCTGCTCAGCTGACGATCTGTTCTTATCCGATTCTGGTGACGTAACTTTCTTGTCTTCGTTCTTTCTATTGTTCCTTGCAACATCATTGCTAACATGTTTTCGACTGACGACCACATTATTTTTGTCACTGACGCTTTTCCCAGCCAATTGTGGCTTTAAAGCAACATTTTGTCGCTTAGTGTTAGCAATTTCTGACACAATGTCGGTTGCAGGAGGAGACGCCCTGGTTGGTTTCTTTGTTTCATTTCTCATTATGCCTTTCAAAGTTTTCTTGTTACTGTCACTGGTTTTACTCACGATGTTACCCTTGTCAGATTCATTATCCGTTACGTCGTAATCTGAAAGCTGGGACGGAAGAGATGCACTCCGACCTCTGTTCACTTTACCCTCAATAGTAGTACTGGCCGTTACCACAGACTCAGACCGTCGGACGTCATCGTGTTGACCTCTTTTACTCTCCGACATGAGGTTCTGAAGGTTTTCCAACTGCTGATCCATGACTGTCCTGGCTTCGTGCACGCGGGATGTGATATCTCCGTGAAAACGTATTATCGAGGGCCGTATCTCCATGTGGATGATGTAGTCTTGCCAAAGCAGCGCATGTTGAAACTCTAGAAGTCTGAGGGCGTTGTCTTGGCGTCTGATTTTCTCCTCCACTTCATCCAACTCGTCACTCTCTCCTTTCTTACTCAGCTTGTCCCGAAAACTCCACAATTCCTGCCTTTCCTTGGTCTGTATTTCAATATCTTCCCCAACTTTCTCGTAAGTCTCTTTCAGAATTTCGAACTTCTCTTCGCGCTTCTCTAGGGCTTCTAGCTCCTCCTCCAAACCTTTCAATACGCCTGTACTCTCCCTCACTGCCTTCCGCATCTCCACAATCTCTTTACTCAGCGCATCCTCGTCGTACAAGGACTTCTCATCAGCGCTGTCTTGCGGACTGGCACTTAGACTCTCCACCCTTTTGTCTTCGTCCGCGCTTTCGTCTGATTCCGGAGGTCGTCGCTGGAACGGCAGCTCCGGGTATATCTCGTGAGCCAGGACCCACCACTGTTTGGTGAGCTCCAAGCACTTGAAGAACTTGGCAAAGATGTCCGGGAGAAGCCTGACGACGGGCTCCACGCGTGACGAGCCCCGGATGAGCAGAAGGTCTTGCTCGCTCTCGTGGTCAAAGTCCTCTGGTTGCGGCTCATCGTCGGTCAGAAGGCTTGCCCAGCGAGACAACACCTCGTTCATGTCGTTAACCTGAAAGGGACGTAAAATATGATTTTTTTTACTACACTCTTTAAAAAAAATTAAACTACCTAATGTTGTCAGTAGTTCGCGTCACATCGTCAAAGCAAGATGATATTATATTTTCAACGCTCGTGGCCATTCTGCATTTCACTTGTCGCACCCCCCCACCCCCCCCACCCTTTCCATCACGTCCTCTTTCTTTGTGATAAAAAATTGGGCGTAAGTATACCAGAGCGGTGTTTTGGGTGCATCGAGAACTAGAAGCCCCAGGAGCAATTTTTGAAACGTTGCATTGTCATTGTGATTTAATAACGTACTGAAACTATGAACCACAGTGGCGCAATGCTGCGCACGCGAAGGGGCGATATAGACAATGAACGGGTCAGAGAGAGAGAGAGAGAGAGAGAGAGGGGGG